GAGAGAGAGAGAAAGAGAGAGAGAGAGAGAGAGAGAGAGAGAGAGCGAAAGAGAGAAAAAGAAAGCGAGACAGACAGCGAGAGAGAGAGCGAGAGAGAGAGAAAGAGAAAGAGAGAGCGAGAGAGCAAGAGAAACAGAGAGGTGGGGAGAGCGAGGAAAAGAGAGAGGGAAAGGGAACGAGGGGAAGACAAAGAGCAACGAACAAGGTATATATTGACAATATTGTCAATGATTGCCTGGTAGCATTACCCTGAGCAATTACAGCTACCTGCGCGCCGCCTTGCCGCGCCGCCTGGCGGCGTTAGCTACAACTATAAGCGCGCGGGGTAACTTTATCTGCCTGCGCCAGCGAGCCAACACAAGAACAACAAGAGCAGCCGACCTCGGTCATGGTCGTGTTGTAGGTGCTAAAGCGGCGCCCTCTACCGTGAACCTCCTGATAGTTGTACCATTTCTTCTTTATTAGACCCAATACCTGGAAAACACGTAGAGATGCGAGAACGTGGAAAATGAATTGTTATTACGGACACGCACACGTTTACGCGCACGCACACTCGCACGCACAGGGGCAGGCGCACATGCACACGCACACGTACACGCACACACACACGCACATGCACGCACGCACGCACGCACGCACTCGCAAAGTGTGGTAGCCTTTTATCACCTCGCAAATTTAACTTTGTTAATATTAATGAGGATAGCTTCTTAGGTGCAGTATCCGCTAATTACGCCATGAAGGGAGATTAGCGCGGATAATTTAAAGCTCATTTTCATTGGTGATTTGGCAATTATTTTAATTTGTTTCCTCATTAAAATGCGCATTCGCTTTTCAATGGCCGAGGAGTGCCGTAGTAATGGTCTTAAGCGTCGCAGTAACGGCTGTGCGGGAGCTTCAGTGGGGGCGCCGGGGTCGGGAGAGGTGTGGGGATCGACAGGGGTATGTGGGTCGCGAGCGACACGGGCGTCGAAAGGGATGCATGGGTCGGCAGATATGCGAGGGTCTGGAGGAATGCGGGGGTTGGGAGAGATCCTGGGGTCAGGGGGAGGTGCGGGAGTCGAGAGGGATGCTGGAATCGCGGCGAGGGTGGGGTCTGGTGTGTTGTCGCAGTCAGGATCAGACAGGAATAGGAGGTAATGAAGTGGGAATCAGTAAACTGGCAGATAGGCATATAGAGAGACATGCGGTAATCGACTAATGTCGGAGTGAATTATCGGGGTTGGGTGCGGGGTTAGTGAGTATAAGGTTGGGCGAAACATGCTGGGGTTAGGGAATGGAATTCGGTGAAACATCGACGGGTTCTGATTGGTTGCATATGTGAGGAGTAAAAACTGAGTGTAAGGAGATCAGGGTGTATCGGGGTATCAGCAGGAGGATAGTTAAGATGCGGCGTGATAACGAGAAGAATCGCTTGTCGCCATGGTGACGCGACAACGGCAAATATAGTGCTCCGTTGTTAATTTTCAGCTCAATTCTCTCGATATCGAAATTGTGATTGAAAGTTTTGCTGCGTGTATAATATAATAATAAATAATAATTTTCTCGAGGGCACGCATTGGCCTTAGCCTATGCCGTCTCGGGTTCCAAGAATATGCATTCATATGTGAATAAAATATGCCTAGCAATACATCAGGCGCTGCGGTTAAGTCAACTTTTCTCACAACAATATTTATTTACTGAGATCTATTTCACGCACATCGTGTCTATAAATAGTTCATGACGGACGGGAGGAATAAAAGACGGAAAAACTATATACGCTGCAAAAATTAGTTTTTTGTTCAGAAACATTGATCGATAAAAGTTTAGGGTTCTCTCGAAGGGAAAGACGTACACGCATATTGAATGAGTTCATTAGTAACGCTTGTATAATTAGTGAGCAATTACTTCCTTCTCGCTATGCATCTCTGTTGCAATAATACGTTGTGTTGCACAATGATTCAACTTCGTCTATACGCGGTCGAAACGATCTCAAAATTAATTCAATATATCGTTCTCACATTACGCTTGTTAATAAGATATTATCAGAAGTAGATAATAGGGATTCCCTATTATCTACTTCTGATATTATGTTTCGAATTTGTAACACATTCCGAATTGCACTGGATCACTGACGACAGTTTTAACGTACTTAGCTCTACGCATTATTAATGTACGTCGAAATTACGTTATATTCAGGTACGTGCGACGAAATATAGACGATTTAGACACATCTGTTATATACTCGAATCTATCTAAATTACGCCTCTGAAATCTATCAGACTTCCTAAAGTACCTAATGTCTTAAAATTCGCCGAAAACGCAACCCCGATTTACCGACAACAAATATTTACCGTACTGTTTGTATATCATTAATCCCCGCTAACGGCCCAGCCAATCATGTCGCTGAAGTGAACGCGTCTATAGAATTAACGTTCGTTATTTATCAACGTCGTCGAGTCGCTTTAGCGAGAATTTTCGGAAAACGTTCAGATCGCACGTCGCACGTTTTAGATTCATTATATCATTTCCGTCGTTGTTCGCACGCACTATGCCTAGCTAACTGCCGACGTTGCCGGCCCCTGACGCCCGAGGCCCCCGTGGTGAAAGCGGTGCCCCTAATGTGCGTGTATGTACACAATTTCTTAATGGCATTGTAATGAAGTGCAAAATGATTAGGCGACGAAAACTTCTCGCGGAGTCAAACGTGAGTGAGTGTCGATAGAGGGAGAGGATGGAGGGAGCGAACTATCTTATAACCGAGCCCCGATGGAAGAGAAGACGATAGCGCTAAACTGATTACGTCACCACGACGGTATCGTCATGGTTCGTAATCGTCGTCGTCAGTACTAGTCTCCCTTATTCTTAGCTAAAACCTCCACCGGACAACGTTATACAGCAACAGCTGAGTAGAGCTGGAAGAATTTACATCGCACTACGTATAGGTTCAATAAACTAAGAACATGTAGTGAACCTACCTCGCCGTTTAAGAAGCAGAATATTAGCGCAACAAAGAATCCCTGAAACGAGAAACAAATATATGGTAAATCGCATAATTCCCGTCATGTAATGCTATTTGGGAAAACACAGTAATGTTGTCACGAAGCGAGTCGTGATGCGGCAGCAGCAGCAGCAGCGGGAAAGCTAATCTGCCGCGAGCATCTATTACGTATAAACGCATATCGAAAGCGAAAGCTATATGCCGGATTTCGTTTGTCACTCGCTTATAGAAAAAAAATTCACGCTATAGGCGTGGTCGTATATTATGCATGAGGCTATTAGAAATTCACGATAACATTGGCGCGTATTAAGCGAAAAAACCACCGATCAACAGTTAGCAAATAAGAAAATCGCGTAAGATCTTCGGGGACTGCTTAGCGGATGAAGAGCGGTGATAGATTATTTATGCGCTTGGAGTGCGAGGGAAAGGTGGCTTTCAGCGTCGCATAGCGTGCTGGGACGTGCTAGCGTGTGTCTGTCTACGCTGTGTGAACAACACACAATGATAGGGACTGTGGGTGGAACGGCCGCCTAGTGTACGCACGCGGCAAGGTTCCGAGAGACGGATAAAAATATTAGACAGCCGAATGCAGCTGCCACTACCCTTACAGCGGACACATCGATAATTAACCTCATTTGCATGCGGGCGTGGTAGTTTGTGTGGAAGTGGGCTTGCGTGTGAGTCAGTGCGCGTGTGTACTCGCGCGGGTGCGTGCGTATGTGCGTGCGTGCGTGTGTGCGCGTGTGCGTGTGCGTGTGCGTGCGCGTGTACCTGGAAGGACGAGAATATAGCGAGCAGCTTCTGGTAGACGACCTGCGCGTTGCTGCCCTCGCCCGGCGGCACCCACATGATGATGTAGTAAACTCCCAGCAGGGGGATGAGGATCAGCACGGCCCGCACCGCCTTCCTGCAACACACAGACATCCCGCGAGATCACGCGTAATTAAGCCTCTCCGTCTCTGCCACTCCCGCATCCGACGCGCCCACGATGTGGTTGCACACAGGCATACAAGCGCACGCACGCACGCACGCACGCACGCCCGCCCGCACGCACGCACGCACACACACACACACGGGCGCGCGCACACATACACAGGCTCACTACCTATCTACCGATCGTGTATGAAAACAAACATTTACAAGTGTTGTTCGTTTTCTACGTCTTGTTTTGGATGATTTCATGATGAGTTATGACGCTCGCTTTTTGTGTTGTTGTTGTGCAGAATAAATTAATGAACGTGTCGACTTTTCATCAGATATTATTTTTATGTGGTTAACCATCATAATAATATACATAAATTACTATTGTGTACAATAAATATGTATGGTTTTGAGTTTTGCGATCGATTCTCATCCAAACAGCAGCCTCGTGCCAGCAAACGATCAAATTCCTATTGTCGTAAGTTTTCTCATAGCTGCGAGGCGTTTCTGTCAACGTTATTTTCGTAACATTAACATTAGCCGTAAGTGCTATCTTAGCATTAATATTAGCCTTAACTTTACTATCTTTCTAACAACGTGCCCCTGGTACGCCGCACGATGCGCGCATGGATGGTGGGTGGGCAGTTGGGTGGTAGAGGGAAGGGGAAATGCGGGGGGGGGGAGGACACAGCCGATGGAAGCTAGACCGTTAAGAAGCCCTCGCGAGAGAAAAACTGCAACCACTCTGCGCAGCTAATTGAAACAACTGTAATTAGTTCGTAATGTTCAACGGCTGATTTTCTATCACTAGTGCGCTGTCTCTGTGTGTGTGTGTCGATCTCTCTCTCTCTCTCTCTCTCTCTCTCTCTCTCATCCAGCGTTAAACAAGTATTGTAAATTAAGAGCCTGCAGCACTCAAAATCATGATAATTATACTAAATGAAGTGAACACAGTGATACAACAACGATAATAAGCAACCCGCAGTTAGATGCCATATGAATGACATAAGCTAGGCACTTATGATATAAGACTACTAGCACTTAAAAAAAAAACCTTAACCAAAACCTAACCTAACATAAAACTAAACCAACCTAAACCCATAACCACACTAACCTAAAAAAAAAAAAAAAAAATTAAATTAAAGGCCTAGTAGTTCATAATCAATCGCATCTCTTCCTTGCAACATACATAACCCGCCATGTGTGTACATGACCCCAAGTCAAATCGCGACTAACCACCACATCCATCCGAATTCACACTCACAGCACCACACACGACACTCAGTGTCACACACTACAACTACACCACTAACCACCCACCCCAACGATACAACCACACACATCAAAGAATAAAAAACAGATAAGCACACAACACAAATAAATAAACACATCACACACACACACACACCAACAAACCACAGACACATCAACAACCGAACACAACACCAAACACCCTTACCACATCTTCTCTTCTTCTCTCACACATCGCACACAGCACCGCCACCTAGCACAGCGCAAACAAGAAAGAACAAGCCGTAAATTGACAGTCTTATAAGTCAATGAACACGCCAGGTGGTCGATGTGGTAAAATGAAAAGGTAAAATGGGCCGCAAGGAGCACGCGGACCTACTAATATATGATATCGTGTCGATAGTGTTATCATCAAAACAAAATAGTTTACCCGCGCTACATATTAATATCTATGATAATATATAAATATAATAAATATACTATTGTGATGTCGTGTTGTGTGTGTGTGTGTGTGTTGTGGTGTGTGTGTGTGTGTGTTAGGTGTTCTGTGGTGTGTTGTGGGTGTGCGTGCGTATTGAGCAATCGCAGCCGCGTAGAAGCGCACAGTAAACACCACACCACCTAGCTACACACAACACACACTCCGACCAGTACAACACCGCACACACCAAATAGGCAAAGAAGTGGCTCTCTTTTTTCTCAGAGAACTCATCAAGCACATCTCTCCGCCGCGCAATATACTAATGCACCGCATGCGCAGCGCGCACAACCGTCACACAACCTGTGCACGCGCGTCGCCGTCGCCATCTTGGATTTGCTGCTACGCGTAAACTCACATCAACAGGCCCGACACACACACTGCGCGTAGCGCAGCACTATCACACCACAAGGCAGTCTCCATGAAAGTAACTCATGAATGTGTTCCAGAAATTTAATTCGTCTGACGTGAAACAATTAACAAAGGATCACTCCTTAATTACACATCAGACACAAAACACGCAGGCCTCTATTCATACACACACACAGGGGGAATAGGATGAGAAAGAGAAAAGAGAGAAGAAAAAGAGACAGCAGAAACACCAGACAGACAGACCAGACAGAACAGACCAGAAGACAACACACCATACACACAAGACAGACAGACATGGCAAGATGGAAGCGAGAATGGTACCCGATATCCCACTCGCACACGCACCCACCTTCTTTGGTCTCGTTCTCTTTTCGCCTGGTCGCGTTCACCGCACTGAGCCTCCTCTCTCTCACCACCATCACATCACCTTCTTATCTTTGTGTGTGTGGTGTCGTGTGTGTGTGTGTGTGTGTGTTGGTGTGGTGGTCTCCAGCTGTGCTGTGCGTATGATGATGGCGGCGCGTCTGCGTCAGTGCGTGGTGCACTGAGCACACATGCGGGCGTGCGGCGTAGCGGCGTGCTGTCACATCTTTAAACCCCACACGCACACACAACAGCGCTAAAAACACACACGCACCACAGGCTTGGAATCTCCTGCGTCTCCACATTTAATCTATTTTAGCATCTAATCATCCTATCATCCTTAATCATACGTCGGCACGCACGCACAAGCAACATGTAATCTATCTACTTATGCTAAAATCACAATGCCATCCTAAGCCTATCCTACATCACAATCTAACATATCCATTCTAGTCTAATATCGATCTACACGCGCGCGGCATCGTACGCTGCAAGGCACACACACACACACACACACCACACACAGCACACACACATCGCACATACACACACACAACACGCGCGCGCAGCGCACACACACACAGACCACACGGACGCGCGCGCAACAGACCACGACAGACGCACGCACGCACAGCGCACGCACACACGCAACGCACGCACGCACAACCGCACATCCACCACACACACACAACACACACACACACACGACACTACACACACACACACATATAATAATATATATATATGCGGCAAAGATCTCATGTGAGTCATGCAGTAAAGGCATTATTAATGGGTCTTCCCGCTCTGCAACGCGCAAGTAAGCTACGGAGCTATACGGAGCTTAACGGAGCTAATGCGAGTAATCCTAGGCGACGCGCAACGTCTTACACGGTTTTACCATCCGGCAGACGCGCACTGGGCATGCGGACGAAATCGCAAGACGCGCAAAGCAAACGGACTGCTACTAATTCGTTGAACGTTAATCAAATACGGAGCGCGAAAGCGTCATTACACGCTTTGTGTTCGGAAAAAATCCAGCCGGACGAGTTGAAAAGTAGATGGCGCGAGAAAATTAAAGTCGGTGCTATTCGCGCGAACAATATTCGTAGGGGGAAGTGTGTATGTGTAGTGTGTGTGTGTGTGTAGTGTGTGTGTGTGTGCGTGTGTGATGTGTGTGTGTGTGTGCGCGCGGCGTGCGTGGTGCGTGCGTGCGTGCGTGCGTGTGTGCGCGCGCGCGTGCTTAGCGTGGCGAATGGCAGTGCGTTGCGTAGCGTGCGATGCGTGCGTGCGTGCGTGCTTGTGTGCGTGCGTGGGCGTGTGGCGTGCGTGCGTGCGTGTGGTGTGGATGTGTGTGTGTGTGTGTGTGTGTGTGGGTGTGATGTGTGTGTGTGTAATGTGCGTGTGTTGTGGTGTCGCGCGTGCGTGTGTGCGTGCGTGGTGGCGTAGCGTGCGTAGTGTGCGCCGGCGCGTGCGTGCGTGCGTGCGTGCGTAACGTGCGTGCGTGCGTGCGTGCGTGCGTGCGTGCGTATGCGATGTGTGTGTGTGTGTGCGTGTGCGTGCGTGCGTGCGCGGTGCGTGTGTGTGGTGTCTGTGTGTGTGTGTGTGTGTGTGTGTGTGTGTGTGTGTGTGTGTGTGTGTGAGGAATCGCGTTTACGCAATGCCAGTTATGCGGTGAAAGAAAGAAAGCGAGGGAACAAGTGAGAAATGGCGGCGCGAGAGAGAAGAGAATAGATGGATAGAAGAGAAAAAACGCGAGAGAAGATGGGAGAGCGTGAGCTACGAAGCGAAGCGAACGAGACAGACATGCGAATAGAAGTGATAAAGGAGGAGGCAGAGAGAAAGAAGAGAGAGCAGAGAGAAAATGAGAGACCAGAAGAAAAAAAGAGAGAGAAGAGCGTGCGCGGAAAGAGAGACAGGGAGAAGAAGAACCGAACAGTCCACACACACAGACAGTGCCTAGGCACGATGCAGCAGGTGCACGCACCGCACAGCTCGGAGACACAGACTTGAACAACAGCATCACACACAACACACACCCACACCAGAAATAGATAGATAGAAGAGAGAGAGAGAAAGAAGAGGAGAGAAGAGAGAAGAGAGAGAGAGAAGAGAGAGAGAGAGATAAGACACAGCACACAAGAGACAAACGCGCAGCTACTGATG